GTGTTTTAAGTGTGGTGGGGATCGTATCGAAGTGGGGACGCTGCAGAGTCGACCACCACACCGCCCTCTGTTACAGTAACCACCACGTCGTGAACGATTCAGGGCAGGTCAATTTCGGACATTATTTGAGTCAAGCTAAAATCACGCACGCTTAGTGCGAGTAGAGCGCAGAGCCATGGAAGGTTTATGAATTTTTTACGCGCATTGTCTGAGTTTTTCATAAAAACCAAAGTAGTTCTTTTTCGCGCAGAGTCTGGTTTATAAACCAGTTAATTTTTCACGTGCAGGGTCCGGTTTTTATTAACCAGTTTTTTACGCGCAGGGTCCGGTTTTCCACGAAAAACAGTGTAGTTTTCTACGCGCAGAGTTCGTTTTTTAATTAAAGCCAGCGCAACCTTTTACGCGCAGACCCCGATTCTTTCACAAGACCTGTACAATTTCACGCGCAATATCACATTTTTCGCGCAAAATTTGCGCAGTTTCGTTCATCGTCCTTCAACGCGCAGAACGCATGTTTGTGAAACACGCGCACAACCTCGTATGCACAGAAATTCGCGCATCATCGTTCAAAGCACACTAACTCATTCCACACACAAGCCTATGCGAGTTGTCATACGCGCAGCACCTTTTAGGCGCAACGCCCAATTCCTGTGCTTTCGGGACAAACAACTATCAGCTACTAACACAACCCCGGGGCACGGGGCACGCGGAGGGAGACCGCGTCGTCTTTCTCGCAGAACCTGGGTTTGAGCCACGTGCCATTATTTCGCCAACCCGGTGCGAAATCCTTTCGTCAGAAGTGAGGAGAAAATCTCCCCCTCACGCCAAAATGACAAGGAGCTTAGAATTCTGCTCCTCGCGAAATCATTAGGCCTCTTCTCCTCTCGGTCGTCTTCATCGCCAACAAAATGGTCAACGCACTGCCGACATGGATACTACCTCCACGAGTCTATCAGCCTCAGGGACCGACATGTGATCCCCATTGTTGATTCGCTTACCGTGTTTTGTGTTTTGTTAGCTAACAATTATTGTGACCTAACTACTACTAGAGCCCGTAGCCGTAAAAACCCATGGTACCTCACACCCATGTGAGCTGGGGAAAACACATGGCGAATTAGGCCCAATCCGGTAGGCGTCGATTAACTTGTCTGTATATTTCCGTAGGTGAGCAATGCCGTCGACCCCCACGAGCGGCTTCGTCGTCTCGCCGCCCCCAGCGTCGTGACTTTCGTACAACCTCTTTGCGCACCGTCTTCTACTGCGGCCGTTGCACTACATCCCACGCGCAAGGTCTCTCCAACGCTTATTGGACGGTCGTCAGAGTGCTGCACTGGGTCCCACCGCGCAACTGCGTTGCAGCCTTTGCCTGCGTATCGGTG